GTAATCCCTCATACTCCGTCAGCGCTCCGCCCCGCTGCGCTCCAGACCGGCTGCTCAAAGCAAAGCCTACAGCCTCCACTGAGGCTCCCTCCGTCCGCTCCGCTCTGAGTTCCTTGGAGATCGTAGAGGGCATGCGCCAGATGATTACATTTAAAGCAGCAAAACATGCGGAAATGATCCAAGGTTTCCGCGGATCATTAAAAATAATTACAATTCATTAATTTTTGGGGATTTTTTCATTAATTTCATTAATTTTTTATGTGATTTTGGGGTAACAATCAACATATACCGAACCGAACCGAAAACCATGACCACGAAACCGTGAACCGAACCGAACCGTGGATTTTGTGAACCGTTCCACCTCTAATTGAGATGCATACAGAAGAGGCTTTTCGTTCTGAAATACCATATAGAATGCCTAAATAACTAGATTCCTCCACACTGCTGTAGAAGATCATCCGCTGTTATCATTAACATTTAATCAGTGGCAGCTGGCCATTAGAGGGCGCTAGGGCGCCACCTCACCCACCCAATGACCCTGATTAAGACATAAAAAAAAAAATGTTTATTATCAATTGATTTTAAATAAAAAAAATTCTAAATAAGTTAATATATATATTTTTAGATGTGCAGACAGATATTTAATTTTTAATTAATAGTAAAGCTTCAGCAATTTTTCGTCGGATTGGTGGCGTATTTTCGCCCAAAGGTGGAGGAGGAGAGCTGTGACCTCAGGTGACAGGAAGTGTATTTGCTCACAACCACCTTTTTTTGTTTTTTTTATAAAGTATTGTTGGCTTAGTTACTTCGTAACTTAGTATAAGTGTGATTTGTTTTTGGTCTACATCTATTTTGAATTTATAGCCCCCTCGGAGAAAACTCCACCAGCCGCCACTGCATTTAATGCTAGTTAGGCTGTCAGGATGGTAAAACCCTTCATTTGGTTTGAAAGGGAGTAACTTCCTCCCACAGGACCAGGCTGGTTTAGTGTTAATAAAAAAAAACACCCTTTAAAAATGTTTTCTTCACTCGGTTATTTTTCTTGATATCAAAAAAAAAAACTGTGATAATCTCAAACATCTGATCGTGATAAAAATGCAAAAACAAATAATTGATTTGGTGGCAGACTTCTCAACAGATCTGTTAGAAATCAGAAAGCTCCAAACACATGAATTTGACAGATCGCCATGTTTTTATCTTTAATTCATATAAAGATTTAGGGAATACGTGACGTATGAGAAGCACATTACCATCTTTCCAAAGCTCTGCCACAAACTTGTCTGTTGACTGATGGAGAAGAGTCGCCACGTTGTCATTGAGAGGATCCATGTTCTTCATCAGCCACTCATCTGCCTTGTAGTCAACCTGCACAATAAACAGCCTTTGATTTAGTAAAACGCAAAGAAGTAAAGTAACTATATGATGTTTTTATGAAATGCAGCAGTTTGAGTCATTCAAGGATATTTTAAAATGGAATAAATCTATGATGGAATTTTTTAAAACTCTTTGTGGATCATGAGCATAAAGTATTAAGTATTTTTGTGTATAAAAAAAACCCCCCAAAAAACACAAACAAAATCTAAATGTTTAGAAACTACGTTCGGGCTTCTGACTACGTGTGAATTTGCATCTAGAGCTACAACCCAGTGAAGAAACCATCACCTCCATCTAACCAACACCTCCCAGAACCAAATGGTCCTTTCAGAGAAAAATGGAAACAAAAGACAATCAGAAAGTAAATGAAGTTCCTGACGAAAAAGTGAGACGATCAGAGAACCAGAATAAAAC